TTCAATGGCAGAGAGTTACATGCAGGGCATTTTGAGGTAAAATACCACTATTTTAACAGTAGCAACGTTACATATAAAACTCAGAAGGCAAATGTAATTTCACTGGTGGTTTTGTATACTAAATAAAATAACTAAATCTGTGTTGTAGACCTTGTGCCTTGTGATTTTTGCCTCCACCACTGCGGAGGAATCCAATTTGGTAAGTTTCACTACAGTGAACCATTTCATATCACAAAATCTCCAAAGCAAAATTAAAGAACTAAAGAAATATGTCTTGGCTGATTTGGAGGGGGAAACTGTGTAAATTTGATTTTGTTTTGATAAACTCACCTTGGCTCACGCATTTCATGGCGATAAACCTGAGGGCTGGGGCCCTTTAGGGCCACTAACATATTCTTTAGTCCTTTTGGTTTCTTCAGGCTTGTTCTGCAAGTCCCAGGCTCCATCCCAGTCTTCACCACCTTCCTTTCTCCACATGAGGTTGTTTGGGTGACTCATTTGGGCAGCAGCTGCTGGTACGGCACAGTGAGGTTACCCAGATACCAGAATATCCAGAACACCAGGCTGAGGAAGATGATGATTGGACCAGAGAGGACGAAGAAGTCCCAGAAGCTTAGAGGAGCAAATATGCCCAAGAGAAAGAGGATGAGTCCGGCCACGTCGAAGAAAATGGCCAGAACGAAAAAGCCGAAGCAGCGGCCCACAAATTCGGAGCACTTCATCCCCCAAGAGACAGAGACAAGCTGCACGGCTCCTGCTGCTTCACAAGGTCTTTATTAGGACAAAAAGGACAAGAAGAAAAAAATCTAAGACTAACACAACAACATTCCTGCACCCTGAATTTCCGTCCCTGTATCCAGCCAGGGCAGGGCCTCACAGAACGAGTTCAACAGCCCCGGCTATGCAGCGAAGTCAGCCTCCATGACATTGGGAGATGAGTCATCGCTAGACGGCTCGAAGATTTTCAAAAGGGAGTTTTGTAGATTGATAGTTAATCTCCATTAATGTCTTACACAATATACAAGATGTGTGTGTGTATGGCCTTATTACATGTTGCTGCATGCCACACATCTTTGAGCAAAAGAATTGGCCTATTATTATGTGATGCTTAAAGTGATAGTCTGCTACTTTGGTTTTGCTCCAAGAGCTATAAGGCTAATGTAGCTAAAAGTAATGTAAGATTATATGTGAACACTAGTTTTCCCTTTATCAGTCAGGACATGTTTGGTGTCTAAAGCTTTTTCTTCTTTAGTTTTGCACTGGAGCTACGGGGCTAATGTAGCTAACAAGTAATGGAAACTAATGTAAACCAGTTAGCATAGCGCAAACTGCATGCCTAAATAATCACACTCATCTCAAACCATGTTAAGTAATCTCCTATGGACTTGCTTACGTGGTTTATGCCACTATATGTCATACTGTTTCAGAAGCCAATTAAGCAAGCCTAGTCGAGTGATGCTAGTTGTTGGGGTTGTTTGGTGCTTTAGCTTAGCTGGGTTATTATCTGGACTAGATAAATGAACAAATCCTTAAAACTAATTATCTTATGATATATTTCAGTAACATCTGTTAACACTGAAAACAGAGCATGTATAATGTATTATTATATATTTGACTGAAGCAAAATCGAAATTGTATTAAAAAATGAAATGTCTGTTAATGGAATTAAATACACTGAATAAAAAGATATACAGAGTTTGATTCATTTTTATTGTTTTGTTAAAAAGCCATATAACAAAATGAGCATTTCATAGGGTGTCTTTACAACAGGGGTGTACAACTCTGGTCCTGGAGAGCCAGTGGCCAGCACAGTTTGGTCATTTACCAACTCAAACACATTGCCAGCTTTAGTGAGCATGTTTGAGTAGGGATACCTCTAAACTTTGCTGGACACTGGGCCTCCAGGACTGCAGTTGTGCACCCCTGCTTTACAATGTTTTGTCTCATTCTCATCATTGTAGGAAAACTATAAAATTGATCCAATTAAATTTAATTTAATTTAACTGACAAACCTTTCAGGTAGATCATAATCATAATAAGAGAATTTACCACTATTCTACTACTATCAGCATTACATATAACATCTCAGAAGACACATGTAGATTTACTGGTGATTTTGAGAGTAAACAAAATGGCTATAGTGCAACCCCGGGTTCCCATCATCACCACAGTAAAGAAACCTGAATTGGTAAGTTTCACAATTCATATCAAACCAATCTGAATGACATTTTTTACATCTCAACCACTGAATTTTGTAGAAAGTTTGAAAGCAGTGAAGAATTCCCCTTTAAAGGGGAAATTCAGCAATTTTTCAAAATTTCAGCATAATTTAGTCATTGAGATATAAACAAAAAATTCTGATTGGCTGCTTGAACCTCTTTACAGTGGTGGGGACAGAAACTAGGATAGGGATTGGATAGTGATTGCAATGTCTACAATGCAAAAATTCGATATACCTTTCAAAAGACCAGTTAACCTACAAATGTCTCCTGGGTTTTTATATGTAATTTTGATAATGGTGGTAAAAGTGTATAATAGTGTTACATCTGAAAAAATACAGGTTTCTTTGGGTACTCTTTGACTTTACAACACCCTGCATTTTAAAAATGCATTTCAGGCCAAACGATTATTGCAAAACTATCATAAAACAATGTCTCAGCCATTAGGCAATAAATTTATAAGCACTTCATGTAACAGCTTTCTGTGAGGGAGCCTTTAGAGGCATTGTACTCTTCAGATGTCCGGTTCCTGTCACCACCACTGTGAACAATTCTGACATTTCTCTAAATCAAAGCACTTCACATCAAATGTCTTTCCACACATACACGACACACACTCAGCAGCATTCATACTACCACCCTGCACTTTCTTCTTCTCACACACACCACTGCCACCTTGTGATCTCTCTCTCACACACACACCTAGCTCTCCATCTCACAAACCTCAGATAACACTCACACCGCCACCTTGTGTGCTCCTTCCCCATCTCACACATCAGATAGCGTTCACCTTGCCTGCTCCTTTTCTTTCCTTCCTTTCTTTGTATCTCTCTCTTTAGCTTCAGCACGCAGTAGACTTGCTGATCGCTGGCTGATTCTGGACTGTTGTCCAACCTTAAAAAATTACTTCCTCCACCAAAAGATCACAAAATGCACATATATTCATACAAATTTTACCATTAGTTTCACACACATTCTATAAAACTATATTCTCACTACATATTTACATATTGCATATTTAGTACTAGTTACAAACATTTCATCAAAGTACATACACCTGCATAAACTACCATTCAAAAGTCTAGAATCAATGATTTCCATGATATAAAAGCAACTTGGTTGCAGATAAATGTATAAAATTATCATAAATGTGTAAAATGATTCTATATTGATGTGCAAGGCTGATGCCATTTTTGACTGAAAAGGTCGCACGTATCGCACGTTTGGGTTTGCTCGTTTACTGTTATCTTTTGCTCTTTAATCTTGCTATTAACCCTTCTGGTTACCTGCTTTGACTAAATACCTATTCTGTGTCTTATTGCGTTACCCTTGTCCTGTCCAACTTCACAGGTTTCAAATAATTAGTACGAAGCTGGGAAGCAGTAAAACAAAAACAAAGCAAGACATATGAGAGCTGTTGCTGATTATGCAATGGACCCAGAAAGCTGGGAATAAAGCTTAGAATAAAATAAAAGTAAATCTAAAGCTGCACTGTGTAATACGTGGGGATTTGGAGACCTCTCTGGTGGAAATATGTAATTGCATCTAACATGCGGCCAAACACTTTGTAACAATAGTAATGTTTTGGAGACCTTCCCCCAGGGGATGAATCTGATGAATGTGTGACAATTGAAATAGTATTCAAAAAGAACTTGGTGAAGGACGTGTTTCTGAGGATGTAAGTGAATTATCTACTATTTTTTATCATACTAACATCAGTATAATGTTGATTTTGCATTTGACATCTAAACATCGAGCAAGAGCTTCTTTTTGAGCCTGTGCATATGAAGTTAACAGGTAAAGACGTATGACATGGTCTGAAAAGCTACAATAGACTTTAAAATTAATATTTCAGGCTTTAAAAGTTGACTCATAGCAGCGCACACACACCATATTTTAGCGTGATTGTAGTCTCCTGACTCAGTAATGCTACTTCTTTCAATTTTAACTACAAAAAATCTTACACAGTGCATCTTTATAATAAAATGTAATAAAGTTCAAAAGTAGTGATCAAAGTTTGAGACAGTAACTTGACAAGGAATTACTATAAACAGACTTGCAGTGTATTTTTATCATTTAATAACTTCTTTTTTTTCCAAAACACATGAAATGTTGACTAAGTAATCTACAAACTCCTGTGAATGTACTATATGGTATTTAAATCTACAGTAACAAAAACTATTAATATGGCAAGTGATTCTGAACTGTTGAAAGGTAGTGTATGTTCAGAAAAGAAGTGAAAAACAAAGTTACTGGCCTGAGTCTGAGTGGAAAGGTGACCCTTTCTGAACATGCATGAAGTACCTGCACAGTTGAAACCGGAGAACTGTTGGCTTTCAGCCAAATGACACCGGCAGCATTTGTTTATTGACGGCCAGACCAGTCTGACCACTCTCTCTCTCTCTCTGGCACTTGGGCAGTTAATGTAAACGTCCATCCTGTGCTGCGTTTGCATCCTGGTTCAGTCTGTTTGACTGTGAAATCTATTTCCTAAATCAAGGCGTGATCTTCTCTGGAGGTCACGGTGGCTACTGTGCCAAGTCAAACACTGGATACTGTTCATCAGTCTAATCACGTTCTAACAAAAGGTTTTATGTCCAAAAAAGATAATTTATCTAGAAAATGAAGTGTTCTTAACTTTTAATGTACATTAATGTAACAAAATGTTATTCCAGTAATTTTTCAGCATTTCTATTGAAACTAAATGTTCACACAATGTAACGGGCAGTTGCCAAATCCAAATGGTGTAAAAAATTTAAAAATGCAAAAAATAAAAAACAAACAAACAAACAAACAAATAATTAGGTTACAAATTCTCATATGCTTATTTTGGTGGTTCCTTGTAGCTACTTGAATGTGCAAACTGTTAACAAACTTGCTGGTGTAACTACTATTATCAACAAGGTTAGGGTTGGGTTTTGTGATGAAGTTTAGAGTGAATGCTAGTGTTGGGTTTAGGTTTTAGGTTGAGGTTGTGGTTAAAGTAATCTAATTTACACAATCTACCACGTATCCCAGATGTAGCTGACTAGCCAAGACATGTTTGGTGTCCAATTTTTGCTTTATTAGTTTAGCACTGGAGCTAAGAGGCTAACATTGCTAACAAACACTAGATCCCAAATCTTTCTTGTAAATACATCTCCGAAACTTCTCTCAACTCAAAAGATTATCTCAAAAGGTTTGGGTGACTATTGACTTCTACTGTTTGTTAGCAAGGGTAGCCTCATAGCTCAAGTGCTAAACTAAAGAAGCAAAATCTGGACCCCAACATGTCTTGACTGATCGACTACATCTGGGGTACGTTGAAAACCACTGATCACTGAACCATTCTTTGAAAGTTCAAACAAAGTAGTGTCAGTCTTACAAACTAAACATGAAAATTTAGGGACTTAATGCTCCCACTAAAATAAATATACAGTTCAGAAAAATGGATGCTTTTCCATCTTATGAAGCTTCCTCTAGCCACACTGTATATTGCACTTTTTACAGAGACTGAAATGAAACAAATTCAAATAAAATGAATGGAATTGCACCATTTTATACAAACATTGTAAATCTCGGCATAAAATCTCATCAGTCCAGAGATGCATCCGCTGAGAGACTCTTCCATAAACACGTAACCTGGAAAACAAAAAGGATATTTTAAAGTTTGAGCTAATAGACAGACTTATGCATTCTACAAATCTCCTCAGCAGTTTTCCCAAGAAATTACAGATGGTACTGACAGTGATATTTAAATCCAATAATTTTTCTTTAAAATAAGTTACTTTTAATTGAAGCACTTCAATTAAGATGATCATTTAAAGGTAGGCTAACATACTCAAACTACTCAAACTCTCTAGTAGCCCACAGGAAGAAATGCACATCTAACAACATCACATCACATAGTGTGAATGTGATATTTCAGAATATATTTGTTAAAGAATTTGATCAGAAGGATTCTGTTTTCAGACTGATACCAATATCCATTGAAGGTAGGTAGAGTATCTTTGGTAACACTTTATTTGAAGGCTACCTACATAAGGATGTCATAACAAATACATAAACATTGAATAATGCATTTATAAAGCAATACGTGAGTATTTATGAACAGCATATTGCTGCTGTAATCGCACGTTATCATAAGCTGAAGTAAATGACATTGTATTGACGTAAGGGTTTTGCAGTTTAACTCATGTAGAACTGATATAAACTTCTAAACTAGACCTTCCTTCTGAGTTCCATGACTTGGGTATGATGCTTCATAACAGTGTTATAAATGGAGCAAATGTCCATGACTTTAGTTTAAAGTCCTTTATGTCAACGCAATGCCATTTACTTCATAGAACAGCTTATGTCATCTCATGGTTACTAGCATAAGCTGGTCATAAATAATAAATATTGCTTCATAAATATGTTATTCAATGCTTATGTATGTGTTATGTAGTCCTTATGTAAGTAGCCTTCAAATAAAACATTACCATATCATATCATATTACCAATCAATATAAACTGTTTATGTAGATTGTCTATTTTAGATATTATTTGCATAAAGGTATAACTTGACTAAGTCTGCTGGAAGGGGGACTCTCACTCCCAACAACCCCCACCTCGAAGTTTTAGCTTTCTGATTTCTTTCTTTAAGCTTTTGCCTTAGTTAAGCCTTTGTGTGTGAAGTTATGTGTGTTCGTGTGAACGGGCCAACCATTTTTTTTCTTTCCATTTTTATGTTCCTGTGATCCTGAAAAAAACTTATTCTTATTACATTTTATAATCTATTTTACTTTCAAAATTCAATGCAGTTCTTCCCTTTTGAAGTATACTTCATCAGTTATGCTATGGCGAACTACCCAACACCATCGATATTGATATGCCATCCTTACAGATAATGCTTTCTACTCTAAGAATTCATGTCAGATTAAACTGAACATCCAAGATAGCAGACAGTTTTGGACCGATTCTGGCTTTTCTATGTGAGTGCTTGTTGACTACTGAGTATACGTTAGGCATGCAGGCCAGAATAGGGTCAGATCCTGGACAGCTTCATACTGTTTTGCCTCATGTCTACATTTGTGGGACAATTTTGGCATGAATATTGTGAACCAACAATGTAGTTGGGCTGGACTGGGACCAGATTTGTGCCATATCCTTTAGTTCTACTCACTTTAGAGTGTGTGGGCCAGATCTGGGCCAAGGACCCAGCCATATACTGTGCCAGAACAAATCAAAGATGTGGCCCACAAGTGAGCCAGACAAATTTTGCTAACTGGGATGTCAGTAACATTATGTTTCATATGCCGTAATCAGTGCAGTCATATTACAACTGTACTACTGATTCACTGATTAGCATCTTCCACTCTCAGGAAAAAAGAGTAAATATATCTAACAAGAAGCAAAGATGTTAGCAGGACATGACTCAACATATGTCTACGCCAGCGATTAAATAAGGAAATCAAACAAGAGGAGCAGGCTGGGTTGCAAAAGCAGGATAAAGCCAGAGTAGGGTCAACACAGCCTAGCTAAACAAAGAAACTTGTGTAAATGAGGAGATTAGCCTACAGCTAACATATCACACAGCATACAACGCCAAGCACTGGAACAAACAGCTTATAACATTCATATAAACCTGCTCTGAAGTGAACTCACCCACTCTCACAGCAGGTTCTCCATGTTAGCCGTCTGTAGATCAGACTTTTTCTCTTCCACAGAGTTTTTCTCGTCCTTGTCCTCCTCGTAGCCTTGGTTGTGGTAACAGGTAGATTTGCCCCACGTTACCTTCGAGCCTGCGTGGTGCAGTGAGGCAGCTTTCTGTCCGACATCACCCTCTCCTCCTCCTCCTCCTCCTCCTCTTTCCCCAATCGTTTTCATCACACTCTGCTCCTCGTCTTTCCTCTGGCTTTTGGAAATCCTCTCGGTCAACTTTCTGGCCAGCTGTTTAAAGCTGTGAGCGGTACTCGCTCTGCCTCTCCTCACGCCCTCCTTGGCCACCTTAATGTTGCCCACGTACCACATCAGCCACCAGGCCAGGCTGCAGAAGACGATGATAGCGCCGGTGTGGATCAGAAAGTCGCCGTAAAACCTGCCGTCCACCTGCAGATTCGCGAAGATCCCCACTAAGAGAACGATGAAGCCCACCAGGTCGAAGACTATGGCCAGAACGAAGAGCGGCAAGCAGCCGCCTATGAAGCTCAGGTCCATGTTGAGGAGCTCCGAGTGGCGCCGCGACCCGCGCGAGAGACTTTTAGACACTCCCACTGAAGACACGCCCACTACAAGACAATGCACAGTTCACGCCCACTGTAAGACACACCTATCGAGGACACACCCAGTGAACGACATTCAATCGGCAAGACACGCCCATTCCAATCACGTCACTCCAGGTTATAACTTATTGCTTTTTTTTCATCTTTTTAAAATTGTTTTAATTATTATTATTATTATTATTATTATTATTATTTCGTTACATTTTTGTAACTTTTTTCTTCAGTTTTAAGCTTAGATCCTTAAAACAGATGCTTCTTCAAAGGTTCTTTAATTAAGAAAATGGTCCTATATAAAACCATGAATACTCAAAGAACCCTTTGCATGATTAAAGGGTTCTTTGCATGGTGAAAGGGTTCTTCAGATTGATGGAAAATGTGCTGTGGATGGTTCTGTATAGCACCAAAAAGGGTTCTTCTATTGTTATGATGTCAAGCTTGACACAATTGAAGAACCCTTGTTGGTGCTACATGGAACCCTTTTCAAAAAGGTTTATATGTAGGTGCTACATAGAACCATCTACAGCACATTTTCCATCAATCTGAAGAATGCTTTCACAATGCAAAGAACCTTTTAATCATGCAAAAAGTTCTTTGAGTGCTCGTGGTTCTACATCAAACCACTTTCTTAACTAAAAAACCCTTGAAGAACCACTCTTTGTGTACGCTCTTAAAAAGATGGGTCTTTAAAGGTTCTTTAGTATAGGGAATAGTTCTATTTAAAACCATGGGTACTAAAAACAATTTCATGGTGTAGTGGTTCATTGCATGGTGAAATGGTTCTTCAGACTGATGGAGGATGTGTTGTATATGGTTCTATATAGAACCTTTTTGAAAAGGGTTCTATATAGCACCAAAAAGGGTTCATCTATTGTTATTAGCTTGACATCGTAACAATAGAAGAACCCTTTTTGGTGCTATATAGAACCCTTTTCAAAATGGAAAATCTCCATTCCGAGGGCTGGGCAGTCCAGGACTAGGCTTAATCTTGTGTGGGAAATCAACCCTAAAGGTAAGAAAGTGTATAAACTTCTAAATAACCTTAACAGACGTATATTCTTTAATGAAATTGTTAGATTGAATTCCTTTTTTGTTATTGTGCCATGCTAACACACATAGCCAGGCAAAGCGTATTAATGCTAAAACTATTTTACAACAGTAAACAGCACAACACCAACAACATCAAAAGCTAGTAGTGTTGGGACTATCTTAGCAACGCTCCCCAAGAAATTATTTTTAGCCGAACAAGACCAGTGGCTGCTTACATAAAACATCTCAAATGTTTGTCATAAGCTAAGTCTGTAAATTTCATATAAAAGTTTGCAACTGTCAAACACTGAAGTGCTGAACTTAAGTCTTTAACATTTCAACTTAACTCAGTTTATCATTATAGATTATTTACATTTCCACAACAGTTCCCTGTTAAGTACTTAAGGTAAAGGAAAAACTTAAGGCCACTTAAGATGTTTTATACAAGTGACCACAGGACCTCTTTACTTGAATGGGGAGAGATCTATAAACCTAAACTGATCGCTACAATAATGTTAAAAACATATTTGAAAGCACTGGTAAAGCCTGACCAATATCTAATAAATAGTGGTGTTTGGTTCAAATAACACAATTTTTTCAGCTTGTTTCAGCTACTAGTGATGGACATTCTGGCTCTTTTCAGTGAGTGAGACCATCTGACTCAGCTTACAAATAAGAGTCAACTGTTTTAGGCCCCACGACTCTTCATTTATTAGCATTGTTAGTTTTTTGTTCCCCGAATCACCCAACATAGCGATATCTTCTATCATTAAACTTTCAACAAAGCCTCAGTCTACCTTCCTAAGTAATTAGCAAATTAATTTTATGTTTTATGCATTATGTTTGTTATTTATAAATCTAATAATCTACTGGTAAGTAGTTACACTGGATGAATTTCAGGAGGCAGAGATCACAAGAAAGGCAAACGGCTAAATGCAGGCAAATCAATCAGCCAGTCGTAAATAAACAAAGGCAAGTAAAAGTAAAAAGAAATAGAAGAACTAACAAGGCACACTTAGAAACATGGTGAAGAACTACACGATAACTGCCAAAAACAAAACCAGAGACAATCTAACACAACAAGCATCAGGTTTCAGGACGGTAAGGGGGCAGAACCTGTATGTTCCCAGGAGATTGTGTGTGGGGTGGTGGGGGGTGGGGGGTGTTTGAATGGGCTTGTGATTGTGTCAAAAGATCCACCCTTTTGTTTTATGTCAAATTACAAAAGAAGAGCGAAAAACAGGTCTTCACTGCAAGTTAAAGAGCCAATTAATTCATGAACAGCACATCACTATTAGCTTTAAGCAATGCACATATCTCCACAACAAAGGTGGCTTTTTCCTGCTTTCACATTTACCAACAAGCTGACTGGCTCTTTTTATTGAACAAAAGCGTTTCCTAAATACAGCCTCCTTGTTATTCATAAATGTTGATCATAAAAACAGAACCAGCTAAAAAAGTGAATGTTTCCCACAGTGAGCATGTCCTGCGTCTTGAACTGAGATTGGCAAGTAGTGTCCCAAACAGCAATACAAACAGCAGTTAGCAGCAGTTAGTAAGAAGCCAAAGTTTTAAGCATAGTTTTTCTAGTGAAGCGTCTGATAAAAAAAACTAAATCTCTATTTTATCCCATTTTAGTACAGTTTTGTGTACTTACATTTCACCTAGTCTTGTCCTCCCAAAGTCTCATGTTAGAATAGAACAGGCCCTGGATGCTGGTGTTTTGCATTAAGTTTGCATTTTAGGAATTTAAAATGAAAAACTTAAAAAAAAAATATCACATTTTGTGTTGCTTGTGCGTCAGTGACGCTTTAGTTCCTGATCATGTGCTGCTTTTTCCCTCATGGACATTTGCCAGTCAAATGATCCAGCACAGGCCTACAGAATGTCCACATTAAGCAAATGTGTTGTAAGGTCAGCTCCACTTCCACATGAAAGCCATTTGCAGTTCTGTTCACTGTTTTTTCTATATATATATATATATTTATTAGAATGCAGTTTGGAGTTTAGTTTGTCTGCACAATATAGTTTCAGAGCAACAACAGGAAACAAAGTGAGAGTGAAAGAGTTTAACCTTTTACCTCTTATATACTCTCCTGTGTCTCAGCGTTTCATCAGAAGTGAATTTAGGAGACATCTTGACTCACTTTATAATGGCTCACTGACAGTTAACAATAGCAATAAGATATAAACAGTCACAGTATAAAGAGAATGTTGGTTTATTTCCTTTTACCTTAATTCCTTAAAATCTTAGGCTTATTACATACTAACACTTTTATTCGGTAACTACAGGAGCTTTAATGCAAACTGGCTAAGCTATTCTTAGACTACAGAAGTGTATATAATAAAACATTGGGCCTGCTGGTAGGCCCTGACTATTTAAGGGGTTAAAACATTTTTTGTTGTTCAAATACCTATTGGGCATACTGTTTGACTGTCCGATGAAGAACAATGTTGGTGATTTTAGTAGAGAGATTTTTGTTTGTTTTTTCCTCACTAGCTCTCTCATATTTAGCGGGTTGAAGATTATTCACAAAGGGGGTGCTATTATAAAAAATAGCTATTGGCAGAGCACTGGGACACTGTGACACATATGCATCAATTACACTGTGTGTCATCAGTGACACTGTGTGTTATTTGAACCTGAGCAAATACCAGTAAGACTAGCTATAATCACATACAAAAAAAGAAAAACAGTCCAATTACATGTAAGTGAAAAAAGCGAAGAACTTGCTTTACATGGTTATGTGCCATAACTTTTCCACAGGTATATATATATACATACATACACACATGGAAGTGTGCTTTGCACCACTCCTTAGCATTGCACATAGTGATCTTAGGCTTGAGTGCAGTTGCTCAGCCATAGAAACCCTCTGCTCTAAGAATTTGCAAGGTCTACCACTTCATGGCTGAGCTATTGTTGCTCCTAGACTCTTTCATTTCACAATAATAGTACTTATAGTAGCAGATATTTTATGAACTGATTTGTGGCAAAGGTGGCATGTTATGAAAATGCCATGTTTAACATCACTGAGCTCTTCAGTATGACTCATTCTATTGCCAGTGTTTGACTGTGGATATTGCTTGGCTATGTGCTTGATGTTATACACTTGTTAGCAATGGGTGTAACCTGAGCTCAATTATACATACTTTTGGCCATGTAGTGTATAAATGCCATCATCTTTTCTGTTGAGTCGTTGGATGTTACCAATGCTTAAATGATTTGTTTTCCTGTGTAATTGAGTTGACAGCCACTTCAAAGGTATAATAAGCAGAATCCCATATTTTTAAAACAGATTTGAGACTAATAATAAAAATTAATTTGACTTAAAAAGATCATGACCAATGGCTCATGTTAACCAGAATTGAAGGCTGTCCATGCTGATAGAAAGACAGCATTCACACAGGTCAAACTAAACAGCCACCAATGTGACCAGCTAAATTCAGATAATATTACTTGCTGTATCTTTATAGATTTGTATACATTACTACATCGGCCTACAGAGAATCTTATGACCAGTCCAGGTTTGAAGTGTTTTAAATCTCTCTCCATCACTAAGTGCAATGACTTGCATTATGGATGGGCTGCAAGATAAACAGATCGAACACAGTACTGCATAGGCACTCTCAGCATTGTTCTTACACAAAGTTATTAATAAGTGACACCAACACAACACTGAGAGTCAATCACATTCTTTTAAAGACATTGTTTTTTCAGCCACTTTGTTTACAGGAAGTACTGGACACAAAAAGGCTTTTCTTTTCAAAAAACACATATGAACAATATACAGACAATTTCTTTCAGATGCTCCAAGAGCTTCATGAAATGTACTAACTAGAACATTAAAAATTCCAATTGATTTATTCTTTAGATGATTGATTCCTGATTGTTTTGTTCCTAGATTTTGGTTCTAGCAGCTTTCCTTTGGCTTTATAGCGATCAGATGGCTAGGATCTCCACTTTGTCATTCTAAAATCAAGATGTGGCCTTCTAGAACTCATGCATACATTTCTTTCATGTTGTTTGCAGCACAGTTGCTTGGCCAGATGCAGAAAGCTGTATGTGTGATTATACAGTTAAACCACTTTTATTTTCTGATGGGTAAATTTGCAAGGACAGTCATTCAACATGTCCAGATGTAAAGCGTGCTAAACTATTGAGGTAAAACAGAGTTGCTTGTTTCATCACTTTTTTCATCAGCTTTAAGGCAAATCTTTGTGATGTCCTTTGTGAAGTGCTGGCATGCCATGCTATTCATCCATCATGCTTTAGCTTTGGAGCAGGCTATTTAGTATGTTTCCAGTCTATCTCACCTGTCCAGTCTGTCTCACCTGTAGAGAATCTGTATCACCTGTGCATTCTCACCTCTATCACTGAAATCTTCCTCACTCTTAGAGTCTCACAGATGTTGCATAGGTGTTACTCTAATTCTGTCTCATCTGTAGACCCTTATAGGTGTAACTCCAGGTTGTTTCACCTGTAGAGACTCATAGGTGTTACCTTAGGCTATGTCAGTAACTCATTTTACTCCAGTCTATCCCATTTGTTTGCAGGGTTGGGCAAATTACTTTGAAAAAGTAGTGATTGCTAAATACTGAATACACTTACCCAAATATATTCAGTAACATATTCCATTACAACATATAAAAAGGCAACATATTCAGAATACATTGAGAATACATTTAGAATACATCTTGGTAAGGCACACAGGAAAGCTTTTTTTTTTACTTAATTCACACTGTACCTCATTATTACTACACCTTTCTTCATGTAATCATTCTGTTAATATGTTTCATAAAAAAATCACTTGACTGAAGTGAAAAGAAAATTTTCTACATTTTCTTCACATTTTTTGACCTGTGCAGTAAAACACTGGTGTTAAACTTTTCACTCACAAACATGTCCAATACTGAGATCATTAGTTTGATCCTCCCTTAAAAAAGGTCAGTAATGCTGAGATTAATAACTAGATCAACACATAGATTTATCAGTCCACTCAAGCTTTAGTAGGAACGTCAGTGTTTGTGAAGAAGCTGTTTTTTGTGGTCCTCTTTCGTTTAACGAGCATGTTTGCTACATTGCATAGTTCACAGTTAATAGTTCAACAAACACTGATGGTGTTTCTTTGAATATTGTATTCTTTTTTTATTTGGTCGTTAAGGATTCTAAATGTATTCTCTTATTCTGAATATTGCCTATTTACATTTTCACTCAGACTGAATACAGACACTTAATTTACGTATTCCTGGTACTTATATTGTGTTACATCCCAGCCCTGCTTGTATAGAGTCTCAGTTGTTATTGGTGTAACTCCAGACAGTCTCACTTGTACAGTCTCACAGGTGTTACTCCAGTCTACCTCGCCTGTAAGGCCCCACAAGTGTTACTGAATTTTATCCCAGTGAATTCTAGAGTCCCACAGATGTTGCTCCAATCTATCTCACCTGTAGAGACTCACAGGTGTAACTCCAGGCTATCTCACCAGTAGAGTCTCACAGGTGTTACTGCAGTCTTTCTCACCAGTGGAGTCTCTCAGCTGTTACTTCACTTACAGTTATACAGGTGTTAGTCCAGTCCAGGTCACCTCTAGACCCTCACCTCATGAGTGTACAGCCTGTACCAGCTCCTTAGTGGGGTCCATAATATTTGCATTACACATGGAACTGAGGTTTATATAAGGTGCTCATCCTCTTGAAAGAACTCTGCTGCTTCATTTCCTTTGTGATGGGCACCAAGACCACGCCAACCACCAGCACCACCAGGCCAACAGAAAGCAGGGCAGGGCCCAGAATTTTGGTTGCCTTTATGGAGAAGCCTGAGAAATAGAGTCCGCTCAACACGATACCGCAGGCCAGTACGCTGCCTCCAGTGGTCATGAGGAGGATTGCATGACGGTAGAACTCGCAGGAGGTCCGGGCACTGCTCGAGTGCCACAGAGACTCACTGCGGGAGAGGCTGAAGATGGTGCTTTCTGTGTAGGGAGTGAGCTGCTCCGGAGAGAGAGAGCGAGATCGCTCCCCCAGAGGGATGTGCTCCGGAGGGGGCGGCATGGCCATTAAATCTTTACTGCCCGGCATTTGGAACTTGGAATAAAATGCTGAAAGATGGAGAAAAAAAGATTGAACTGTCTGATTAGACAAGGACTGTAATGTAATGTTACAATAAGGCAAATATATAAAAATTATGCACCACTGGATGTGGTTGTATCAAAAAGGATTTTTTTTTACAAAAACACATGCATCAAAATAATTGGCAGCTCTAGAAATTTTTAACTGACACATGATCCCACCTATATTTTACTTTTGTAAAAATTTCACCAGAGTGTTCAGGAACAGTTAAGCAGTCATCCATCCTGAGTCATTTATCAACATGGGGAAGATTAGAGAATACACAAATGAAACAAGACAAAAGTGTGTAAATGCCCACATCCACTGTTATGGCAATAATTAAGAAGTTTAAAACAACCAGAGCTGTAGTGAACCTGCCTGGAAGAGAATGCATGCTTATTTTACCCCCATGCACAGTGAGGAGGATGGTTAGAGAGACAAAAATTTCACAATTGGAGATTTGCAAAAGATGGTAACATTTTTTGAGGTTAGCAAGTCTCCAAAAATGCTGAGAACAGCCAATAGAATATAATAAATTTACATACATCCAGACATTTAGTAACGTCATTTATGGTATGGGCGCTGCTACGCAGCCAGCAGTTGTTCCTCATCAGTTGTGGT